TTTTTTAAATTTTTTTTTTTAGAGACAGGGTCTCGCTATGTCACCCTGGCTGGAGTACAATGGTATGATCATAGCTCATTGCAGCCTTGAACTCCTGGGCTCAAGTGATCCTCTCACCTTAGCCTCCCAAAGTGCAGGGATTACAGGCATTAGTCGCTGCGCCTGGCATTTCACTCTTTAAAAAACTGCTCTAAATATGTATACAAATATTAGTCTTGAAAGTTTATAAGTACTTAAAAAAACTGTTGTAAAAAAGAATTTTAAAAAAAGATTGAACAGAATACAGAAAAAATAACTTTGATTTCATTTTTTATATATTTTGCAAAAATAGCAAGATTCCACATGACATAGAAGCCCCAGGAACTGATGAAGGTTCACCCTAATCATGTGGAGAGATAACGTGGCAAAATGAGAAGACCCCTGTGCCAGGAGCCAGAAGACCTGAATTTGAGCACTAGAGCCTTACTTATGTAGCTGTGTGGCCTTGGGAAAATCACAAATGCAGGAAGCCTCAATTTTCTGTTCGTAGACTGAAGGTAACAGCCTCGCCGACTTTCCCCAAAGATTAGTGTGAAGCTCAGAGATAAAACATATGAAAGTATTTTGTAAAGTATGAGACAATGCTGGTCTATAGCCCTGCTTCCAAACACATGCTCTGAGCTCCACAGAGCTGGTTCTGTCACTACTACAGCATGGTAAGACCTCTGGATAAGCCATCCCAGGCAGGGTTTCCACCAGACAAACTGATGTCACACAGAACTTCAAACGCCATATACAAAATGAGAAATCTGTGATTTGTCCAACTGCCCAGTACAGCTCCTTGCTAGAATCCTAAACAAGTGGCCCCAACCCCCAGCAGCCAACACAAGGATTAAGGACCCTTAATACACCTTCACTCTCACTGCCTACATCCTATTGATCACCAAGTTCTGCCAATTCCATATTCCAAATATCACTCAATCTACTTATACCATCCTCTGTCACTTCTGCCACCTAGACTAAGCGAGCATCCTCTCCTACCTAGGATGAGCCTTTCCTTCCTGCTTCAGGGCCTGCATTCACGTATTCCCCTCCTTCTGCAATGCTCCACCTCAATTCTTGAATTTTCTGCCTCCTTTTCCTTCAGGCCTGCACTTGTATGTTGCCTCTTCAAGAAACCCTCTTGGATTCCCAGGCTAGGTCAGGTCCTGCTGATGCTTTCCTTATATGCTGTACTTCTCCTTTGTAGTACCAACTAATTAATTATATGGAAATATTGGCATAAGGTCTGACTTCCCTAATTGTTTAGAGGTCCGTAAGGGCAGGACTATAGTCCCAGCACTCAGACGTATCCAATAATAGCTATCAAACAAACACAAAGATTTTTAATGATCAGAAACCTCAAAATGGCATCTCCAAGATTCATTAAAGGCTGAAAAAGGTTTGCATCTTCGCAAAGCATCTCTAAAGACCAGCGTGGCTTCTTAGTACTGTAAATAGTGCTCAGAATCCTCTCAATCCCCAAAGCTTTCTGTGACCTGGGCAGACCCTCATGCTTCTCTGTGCACCTGTCATCTCCTTTGCAAAATGAAACAAACACTCAGAATAGTAAGCTGTCCCTGGGGTTGCTGTGAGATGATAAGGTGAGGAGAGATCATGTGAATGCTAAGTAGCACTGTGACGGCTGCAGGCTGAGCCCAAAGGTCACAGCACTGCTGCAGGGGCTATGGGTAGGGGGTGGTGGCAGGCAGGGTTGTACTACAGCACACGGTTGCCCACTGCACAGTTAATTAGCAATGTAAGTTAATGATCCTACTTGATGTGGTAATATACTCTAAGGCAAGTTTTACAACTAGCCACAGATGCTATTTAAGTATATTAGGAAATTTCAGTTGCCAGTGAAAACTGTTCACTGGGCATAAAACAGTTGGTGTTTTGTGTTAAAAATTAAAAATGATTGAATCAAGTTGAAATATTTAGCTCGATGCTCCACCATGGGGATTTCATTATCTGGCTGGAAGCCCTCGGTCAATGGAGTTGACAGTCTCCTTTCCTGAATTATTGACGGCAAACCAGGCCAAGATCCAGTTTTTGAGGAGGGCTGACATGAGCCTTTTTGGTTCTATCATTAGAAAGCCCAAAGCACTTGATGAGTCCTGAGATCTAGTCCCCTAATGGTTAGAGTTGAAAAATCCTTGTTTGTAAGTGTCAGGTGGTCCTGTGGGCAAGGGAAGACTTCTAGAAAAAAGAGAGAGAAAGAAGGATACAAACAAACCAGGATTTTGGGACACTTGAACCAGGGAAGGTTGGTGGCCAGCATCCAGTGGGGTCCCAAGAATTGGTGGCTGAATGAATTGAGGAAAGGACAGACAAGCGATATCATTGTCAGAGGGACATTAAGATAATCAAGGCTGCTACTGGCATTTTGGGTGAGATAATTTTTCATTTTGCAAGACTGCCCCATGCTCTCTGCAGGGCATTAGGCATTGCTGGGCTCTGACCATTAAAACGCTGCTACACATTTGCAAAGGCCCCTGGAGGGCAGTAGCTCCCCAGTTTAAAATCACCAAGATCACTTAATTTAAAAGTTGGGGAACAAGTCCCTAGGAGGCGACATGATGTGCTTGAGGTCACACAAATTGTTAGTATCAGCAGTAGTTATGTCACAATGAATTTTTTGAACAATATTTTAATGAATATCAATGACAGGCATATTTAATTGCTACAGCTGGAGGTCTCACCATGGCATCTGTAACTATAGAAAAGAAACTGTTTGGCACCTGCTATTAGTAAGTAGACTATTATTTTTCAGTGATTTTTGCCTTCAGCCTTTCCCTCATAGTCATGTAACATAAAATGTACTGACAAAATAATTTTCCAATAGTTTTCTGGCAGCTTAACTCCTTAGCAAAGTGGTTATTAGAGTAATAAAAAAAGAGAGAAGCATTATAATAGATGCCTACAACTGGGACTGTTAAAAAAGAAAAAGAAAAAAATCACCTCTGATTCTGTCATTAATCTGTTTAGCAGACTTAACTTGCTTTGCATACATTTCTCTATCCAAAAGGAAATTATAGAATATCAATACCGAAAAATAAATAAGTGAATATTATTTCATAACTATTTTATGCTCTGAAAAATCTCAAAGAACTTTAAAAATACTTCAGAAAGAAAAGTTTTTATTATTCTTAGATTTACATAGCATTTTTTTCCCTTAAGAAATTTGAACTAATTCTACTCTCCTTATGTCACTGATCCTCAGATACACGCCGGACAGGTCTATGATCTCCACATCTGATCTTATTGATAGGGACATACATTGAGGCCCCCAATGTATAATTTGCTGGAGCAAATAAAGTCATCATGATGGCACCAGGACTATTATTTGAACCTTGTAGTTTTAAATAACATTTATAGTAGGTCGCTTACGGTTACACTTACAGTTTGTAAAACACATGTTATTTTTATGTTAAATCAAGTAAATCTTCACAACAGCCCTGTAAGGGAGTTATGACTATACCCATTTTATAAACAAGAAAACAGACAGTCCAAGAAAAAAGCAAGTTATTAATAGTATTAGATTAGTGCTAAAATACTAGCCTCTGGACTCCTAGATCAGAGTTCAAGTGCAACTTTCAAAAGTTATTTAAATAAAAAAG